AGCCACCCCTCAGAATTTCTCCCCCCAGACTAGAAGCCCCTAGAGGTGGGGCCTGTGTTGGACTCCAGGATAGGTCCTGGCACTGCCTGGGACCTGGGGGGCACAGAGATGTCAGATAGGATGTTAACCACTTCCAACCCTAGGGCCGGGGGAGGTGTGTAATCGATGAATGAATCATCCATCCAATCAATATAAAAGCACTACAGGAATAGAAATGACCATCACATCCTTCCAACACTTATGCACCAGGCCCTGGGCGAAGCGCTTCACAGTTCTGAATGCATTCGGTCCTCGGGATAACCTGCGAGGTAGGTTCTCCCCATTTTAGAGGTGAGAAAACAGAGGCCCGGAGGGATTAACTGGTCTCTTCCTCAGTCTGTTCCTTGACAGAGGAGCCCTGGTGAGCTTTTCAAAAGGGAGCTTAGATCATGTCACTCCCGTCTACTGCTCCTTGGATGTGGCTCAAGGTGAAAAACAGCTTGGATAAAGAAATGTGGGAGGAATGAAAGAATTGGAAAGCCACCATTTTGCAACCCCTGATGACATAACTGATTCACTAAGGCACCTGATGGCAACTGGACATCCGCAGGGTGTTGATACTTGCTAGTAGAAAGGAGAAAAACATAGCTTTACAACGGCATGTTTGTGCTGTTCCTACCTGTATTAGTCAGCTAGGACTGCCAAAACAAAATGCCATAGACTTACACAGCAGACAGTTATTTTCTCACAGTTCTGGAGGCCAGAAGTCTGAGATCAGGGTGCCACCATGGTTGGGTTTTGGTGAGGCCTCTCCTCCTGGCTTGCAGATGGCTGGCCACCTTCTGGTTGTGTCCTCACAGGGCGGAGAGAGTGCTTGCTCTCTGGTATCTCCTGCTCTTCTAAGGACACCAACCCCATGGATTAGGACCCCACTCTTATGACCTCATTTAACCCTAATTACTTCGGGAAAGGTCCTATCTCCAAATAGTCACATTGGAGATATAAGATTTTGGGAGGGGTTGGGGACAAACGTTAAGTCTGTAAACCCTACCTGAAGCCCCTGATCAATCTCACCATCCCTAAAAGTGGGACAGCCAGGCGTGAAGCTAGCAGTGCTGAAGCAGCCATGCCAAGATGCCTGAAGCTAAATTAATCAAGCCTTTCAATTTAATTTCCTGATTCTAGGAAGCCAGAGGCTATAGCAGGGATCTGCCAGAAAAGGCTAGAGAGTAAAGATTTTCACCTTTGTGGGCCACATGCCCGTCACAACTACTCAACTCTGTCCTTGTATGGCAAAGCATCCGTGGACACTATGTAACTGAATGGCCATGGCTGTGTTCCAATAAAACTTCTTTTATGGACACTGGTATCTGAATCACATATCACAAAGTATTATTCTTCTTTTGATTTTTTCCAATTTTTAAAATATTGATGTATAGTTGATTTACAGGATTGTGTTAGTTTCAGGTGTACAGCAAAGTGATTCATATATATATTCTTTTTCAGATTCTTTTCCCTTATAGGATATTACAAAATATTGAGTATAGCTCTCTGGGAGATACAGTGGATCCTTGTTGGTTACGGTCTTTTCCAATTATTGAAAAATGTTAAAAACCATTCTTGGTTTGCAAGCTGTACCAAAACAGGTGGTGGTAGCCAATCATCTGTCTGACAAAGGAATTGTATTTAGAATATATAAGAAATTTACAACCCAATAATAAAAAGACAAATAACCCAATTTAAAAATGGGCAAAGGATCGAAACAGACATTTCTCCAAAGAGGATATATAAATGGCCAATAAGCACATGAAAAAAATGTTCCACATCATTAATCATGAAGGAAATGCAGTCAAAACAGCAGTGAGGGACTTCCCTGGTGGTCCAGCGATTAAGACTTTGCCTTCCAACGCAAGGGGTGTGGGTTCGATCCCTGGTCCAGGAGCAAACATCCCACATGCCTCATGCCTCGTGACCAAAAAAACAAAACAAAACAAGCGGGGCTTCCCTGGTGGCGCAGTGGTTAAGAATCCGCCTGCCAATGCAGTGGACATGGGCTCGAGCCCTGGTCCGGGAAGATCCCACATGCCATGGAGCAACTAAGCCCACGCGCCACAACTACTGAGTGTGCGCTCTAGAGCCGGCGAGCCACAACTACTGAGCCCATGCGCCACAACTACTGAGCCACAACTACTGAGCCCGCATGCCACAACTAATGAAGCCCACTTGCCTAGAGCCCGTGCTCCGCAACAAGAGAAGCCACCACAATGAGAAGCCCGTGCACTGCAATGAAGACCCAACACAGCCAAAAATAAATAAATAAATAAATAAATAAATTTAAAAGAAAAAACAAAACAGAAGCAATACTGTAACAAATTAAATAAAGACTTTAGAAAGGGTCCCCATTGAAAAAATCTTAAAAAAAACAAAAACAAGAAACAGCAGTGAGATAGTGCTTCACACCCACAGGATGACTATAGTCAGAAAGTCAGACCATGGACTTCCCTGGCGGTCCGCTCACCCACCGCAGGGGACACAGGTTCGATCCCCGGTCGGGGAAGATCCCGCATGCCACTCGGCATGGCCAAAAAAAAAAAAGTTGGATCATAACAAGTGTGGAGAAATTGAAACACTCAGACACTGAGGGTGGGAATGCAAAAATGAAGCAGCTACTTTGGAACAGTCTGGAAGTTCCTCAGAAGACTAAACAGAGTTACCATTTGATTCAGCAATTCCACCGCCGAAAGAAATGAAAACTTATGTCCACACTAAATCTTGTACACAAGTGCAAGCAGCATATTCACAATAGCCAAAAAGTGGAAACAACACAAAAGTCCATTGACTGATGCATGGATAAACAAAATATGGTATATCTCATACAAAGGAGTATTATTTAGCTTTAAAAAGAAGTACTGATACATGCTACAAAATGGATGAACCTTGACGACATTATGCTAAGTGAAAGAAACCAGACAGGAAAATGATTCCATTTATGTGAAAAGTCCAGATTAGGTTAATCCATAGAGAGAGGGTGTGGCAATTGGGGAGGGGGGTGCAGCGGGAATAATGGAGGAATAAGTGAAAGGCCATCACCATTTCAAAGAAGCAAAAAGACAAGTTCAGATGGTGGGATGATAACGGAATAACTGACCCAGTTTCTTCAATGAATCAATTGCCAAGGAAAAAAACAGGGTGGGGTGGAAGTGAGACTGTTTGAAATTAAGAGCAACTTAAGAGACATAACAATGACTTGAATGGATTCTGATTAAAAAAAGTGAAACTTCTTTTTTTAAAGGCATTTTTTCAGAAGGAGAATTTGATTATGGACCAAGTAATAGGTAATATTAGGGTTGCTTTTGTAAGTGTAATAGTATTGTGGTCATGGAGGAAAATGTCCCTGTTTTTTTGTGTGCGTGTGTGCTTTTTAAAAATTAAAAACTTTTTTAAAAGTTTAAGTATAGTACATTTACAATGTTGTAAAAATGTGCCTGTTTTTTACACATGTATCCTGAGGTATTTACGGGTGAAATGTCACGATGGATAGGATTTGCCTTATATTTTTAATTTTAAAAAATACCCAGCCAATATGTCAAAAAATATTAATAATTGGTAACTCTGGGCGATAGGGATTCTTCTATTATTCTCTCACTTTTATATAAGTTGCAACATTTTCATAATAAAACATAATAAAATATAAAAGTGAAATTGCTTTACGGACCCATCAAGACCCGAGTTCACACCGAATCAGCAACACCATCAGGAAGTGAACCCAGGACGGCCTGACCCCAAAGCTCCACAGAGGAAAACGTTAACCCTACAGCTACTCCGAGAGGGAAGCGGCTGTCAAAACGGTGCAGGGAGGCGGCGGCTGGCGACTGCACAATCCTCCGCCCTCCCCATCACAGTCTGGGAAACGGAGGCCCGGAAAGGAGGGCTTCTTCCTCAACTCTCACTCATTAGACCCCTAGGAGTTCCAGTCTCCTCTTTCCCCTGGGATCCCCGGCCCATCCGTCTGCAGTGGAACTAAAACTCTCCTGAGAACTGCCGGCTGAAGGTTTGGCTACCTCCAGGGAGGTAGTCCGGCTTCAAACTTGGGGCGCCTAGAGTGCTCTATTAAGGATTGCCAGGAAGTCAAGAATTCAAAATCCTGTCCTAGTCTCCCTCAGGAGCCCGACTCTTGCCCACCGGAAGGCGATCTCACTAACACCATCCTTCCAGCGCCTGGAACTCACCTCACGAACGACTCCTCCCTCGTCGGTAGCTACTTCAACTGTACCCTACACCGGAAAGGAGCGCTGTTTTCCCTCTCCGCTCCGCTCACTTCCGCCCGGCGGAAGAGACCGGAAGTATATCTGCCCCTATTTGCGGAGGTATCTCTTCTGGCTTGGTAAGTGCTCCCTTCTTCTCTTCCTCCCTCCGGAAACGTGAGTGGCAAGTCGAAGGTTCCGGTCAGTGAAACTGGCGTGAATAGGGGGCGTGCTTAGCATATCCTAGGCGTTTCCCTGGGCGGGCGCTTTGCGTCTCCCCAAGCCTGTGCTTAAGGACTAATCACTTCGCCCAGAGATTGTAAAGCCCGCTTACCAAAGCATATCATCCACTTTTCTGCTGCAAAATAAGAGACAATAGAGAAGGGACAGCTCCTCTGTCCCCACTTTATAAATGGAGTTGAGAAATCGGAAGTCAAAGCCGTTCTCAGGAAGCAGGAATTTACTACGGCATACCCACCTACCCCCAGGGACCAAGGCACAAGTTTCCCGCCAGTTTCTAGATACCTAGATATCTGGAGACCTACCTGTTTATTTCCCTAGCTCTGTCTGGCGAACTCTCTGGGGGGAAATTGGATAGGAGGGGAGGGGGCGCCTATCCAACTCCCTAAGTGCCCCACGGTGCCGGAGACCTTGGCCTCTCTATGGGGCTCTGGACCTTAGACCCTTAATCATAAGGTCCCTTTAAATACTTTGTCCCTTACCTGAGTCCCGCCCAGGGCAGGTAATCGCAAACCCCGCCCCTCTGGCCAGAAACCGGGATTTTGCCGACTATAGTGAGCAAGGTAACCCCTCCTTCCTCTCCCCTCCCTTCTCCCCTGTCCCCCTTCACAGCTGGCTGCAGCTGGCCGAGGAGGCCCTGATTAAGGAGGAGGGGACAGTGCTCGCAAGTCTAGGCAGGTAAGTGAATGTCCCTGGAGGCAGAGCTTGGCTTGGGGACCCTGGCTACCTGGCTCCCTGTTCTTCTGGGACCCAGAAGTTGGGGCCCCCAAACCCAGGAGTCCAGGGCCGCTGCCCCCTCCCCCAGCTCCTGGACCCCAGGATACAGGCCTCTGGTTTTACCTCTTCTGTAATCTTTGATTCTGTGGCTGAATGTGGCAATGGGCACAGAGAGGTGGATATACATGGAAATTACCAGGAAGAAGGAATCCCTGTCAATGGACATGTTTATGAGCTCCTACTTTGTGCCAAAACCCATGCTGGGGGCTGCAGACACAGCAGAAAAAAAGATAAACTCCTGGCTCTGGTTTCTGGAGGGACACTGCCTTTGCTGAAATCCTGCCTCTGAATCTTGCAAACTGTATGAACTTGGGCAACTTCTTTTACTTCTCTGTGCCTCAGTTTCCTCCTGTATCAAACCGAGATAATAATAGCACCGTGGTGAAAATGAAACTGAGTTGATAGAGGTAAATGACCTTGAATAGTGCCTGGTCCAGGATACAGGCCATGTAAGTGTCTGCTATTATTATAATTCCTGGACCACAGGGTCTGGGTGGGGAGACCTGGCCTCATTCTCCAGGAGCTGAGGCACTTCTCACCTGACCACATTAGTGTCCACAAAATATGAGGAGCCACCGCTCTGTGCTGCTGCTGTACCTGGGATTGACCACCTGCCTGGACACCTCACCCAGTGGGGAGCAAGAACAAGGTGAGCGTTTGCGGGAAGAGCCGGAGTCCAGGCACAAACATCCACCTTCCTCTGGCCCAGGAAAAACCCTGCCTGCAGTTGCCTCCTCCCCCAGGACCCCATAGCTCTTCATCCCCTTAAGTTCTGGCTCCTTCATGTCCCCAGTCCTAGGAACCCTCCATTTTTCTGTCCCTTGTCTTTTGGGTCCAGAAGTCTTCCTGGACTCCCCAGAGGCCCAGAGCTTCCTGGGCAGCCGTAGGCGGATTCCACGAGCCAACCACTGGGACCTGGAGCTGTTCACGCCAGGGAACCTGGAACGGGAGTGTCAAGAGGAGAGGTGTTCCTGGGAAGAGGCGCGGGAGTACTTTGAGGACAATACTCTGACGGTGAGGCCCTGGGGTCCCCGGAGTCCCTCTGTCTTCTCCAGGACCTGGGCTGGGGGGGGGGGCCCG